AAATTATGCATCTCCATTTTTCTTTTTTAAATGCATTAAGCTTCTTTTAAAGGTATTTGAATATATATATATATATATATATATATATATATATATATATATATATATATATATATATATATATATATATATATATATATTAAAAATTGTTAAATTTGTTCTTAAATTGCTTCATCCTTTTTATTACTTTGGATTCAGGATTGTGCAGTAGTCTGCATTCTTTGTTAAATTAAAAATAATTGATGTTATTAAATATTGTTTTTTTTTGTTTGTTTTTTGATAAACATCAAAAGATCATTTCAAAATCATTTTATATTTTTTACTTTTTTGTCATATTTTTGAATTTTAATTATTCTTTTATTTTAAAAATTGTTACCTTAAAAATTTTAATAAAATTGGTTTAACTTTTATATACAGTAAACACTCTATATAAGTAACTCATTTGAACCAATTTCAATAAAAAAGTTTCTTATTGGGAAATGTTTTAATATGGAAAGAAGGATTATAACAATACTCGAAAATATTTTTACTTATTTCTTTTACTAACTAAACTGTGTAGAATAAACTCAGTTTTATTTAAAAAAAAATTAAAATTTTAATATTATTATCATATAAGCGTAGTTATTAATTTTATTCAAAAAAAAATTAAACAACCAAATTTTAATAAGTCTTTAGTTTAGTACAGCACTAATTGCTAAAACAAACAAAAATAGTTACATATATTAGTTCATGATTTTTTCTCTTAATTTTAGTAACAAAAGAACCTCATTGCAGGGTAAATCATTTTCTTTTGCCCATTCTATCACCAAATTAAAAGAATTTATAACAATATTGATGTTTTTATTGGAGCCATCCAACTTTTTTCATTTTCTTCAACAGGATTAGTTTCACTTTCAACTTAAGGATTTTCTTTAAGGTTAAATGGATGATTTGCCTCGCTTGTTCCACTTGCCCAATCCATAATTTCAGTATCTGCGAAATTACAATCATTAAATATAGAATTATACAATCTTGCCAAGGAAATATCATTTTCTTCTGAAAAGTGATCAGAAGGAATGTTGTATTGAATTTCGTCACTTGATGAAAAAAGATGTTTAATGAGTTTTGTTAAACTGATACGGGAATTTCTTTGCATGCCTGCACCACTAAATAAACAAAATGTTTCAAATTTATATTTTTCAATGCTGAAACTATTCCATTTTCTGCACCTAAGGCTGCAAGACATGCAGTTAGATGTTTGCGATAGCGTTGTTTTAGTGATTTTATCGCATTTTGATCTAATGGTTGTGATAATGGTGTGTTATTAAGGGGAAAAAACTTTAAAATTCAGGTTACCAGTAAAATTATTCTCAGACCCATGGCAAACTGCATGATCTACTATGAGAAGGGTTTTTACGGGAAGGTTTTTAGATTCCAAGGTCGAGTTACAGAAGGCATGAATATATAATTATACCAGTCGCTAAAAAGTGTATAAGTTTGCCAAGCATTTTATGATGATTTTTAATAATCTTGCAAATCCATATTTGCAAAGCAATGAGGAGATTTTAATTTCCCTATTATCATCAAATCTTACTTATGCATACCTGTAGCATTTACGCATTTTGTAATTGTTACTCTTTCCTTCATTGCTTTTCTTCCAGCAGCAAATTTTTCAAAATTTGTAATGTTAGTTTTATTGGGCAAGTTTTTATAGACGAGACCAGTTTCGTAGCAATTATATATTTGTTCACGCAAAAAGCCACTTTCAGCAATATAATTTTTAAATGAATTAATTAGTTCCACATTACAAGACATACTCTCTCCACAAACAGACAAAATCAGTATATTGTTGCATTTTTTAAATTTCATTAACCATCCATCACTTGCTACAAATGTTTTAGGTCCATATTTAAAAAAGTTTCTTGTATAGAGGTTTCTTATAAAGAGAGGTTGCTTATATAAAGCGTTCACTGTATTAGTTTTTGACTTTAATGATAAACCAGTTGTTAAACTAATAAATTCAATTTCATATATTTTGTATGGAGAAATATGTGCGATAGGTGGAAGAATTATTTTATAAACATGAAATATTTTTTATATTATGTTGTATATTTTTATTATAATAAAAAATTTAACATGTTTAACCTTTTTTAATTTATTCTAACTTTTTTTCAATTCTTTAAATGGTGAGGTTATGCTTTATATTTTGATTAAATAAAAATGCAAATATGTATAATTTTTATTATATTCTTCTATTTGTAATTTTAGATTTGTTAACATATAAAAGATATTAGGCCTATCGCTCCCAACACTTTGAGAGGTCCTTCAATAAGTGGTGTAGCAATGGTGGTGTGTATGAGCCCTCCTTCAAATGGACGGCTCACCCCACCAGGGTGTTGGGAGACACCAAAGGAAAAACAACAACCAAAAGGTTGTAAATGTCTTCTATGTAATTTTTTTTAAATCAAATAAATATTATGTTGTATATTTGATTTGTTTTGATCTTTTTAAATTAAAATTTTAATTGTTCTTTCAATAATTAAACCTAAACTTCAAAATATGGTTAAATTGATTCATTACCCAATTATCATAATATAATGATGCTGCATTCTATTGTTCTATTATTCTAATACAATGATGCTACATTCTATTGTTAAAAATCATTGATAGTTTCATTTATTAAACTTACTGCTTAATTTACTATAGTTTGGCTCCTTGAAGCATTTTATATTTTACTTTTTAAATAATATTTTGAATCCATTGTGATGTCTTTAAAGTTAACTAAAGTTTACTAAAAGCCAACATGAAATAACATTAATTAGCAACTTAATTAATTAACAAGAACAGCTGCATCACAACAGCAACTGCAGCATCACAATAGGTTACAAAAAGGTTAAAAAAATTGTTTTCCAGTTATTATTATTTTTTTCTTTTCTTTTATATCTCCTTTTCTGTTACGATTTTTACTTTAGATTTGATGTGTTAATACAATATAAAAGAACAAAGTTTTTCTTGATTTGTTATACACATGCTTGATTGTAAACTAAAATTTTTTTGTTAAAAATGTATTTGTTAATTAATTGCATTTTGCTTAACTATTTATAATAAATTTGTTGTGTGCATTTAACGCTGTTAAGATAACAATTTTCTTTTTTAAAGAAAAATTATTAAAGGAATACCAAAAAATTAATAACTCATGTACAACATTATAAGTTAACTTCATATTAATCTTACTAATTAATTAAAGTTCATATTATTATAAAAAACATTACAAGAAGCTACTTGATATTATTATTTTGTGTCAGTAAATAAAAACTTATTGTGTTGAAATTTAGGAATGTTGATGCAAATGGTTCTGCCTCAAACTGATATGACCTAAGTCAGTTGTAAATCATTCAAATAATGTTAGATATTAACTGGTAAAATATTTTATACCCTCTTCATACTTTTAATGTTAATTTTACTAATGGTTTATACTTTCAATTGAAAGATATTTTTCTAAAAGGGTTTAATTCAATCTTTTCTGAAGTTTAGGTTTCGCAACTTTGAATCATGGAACACAGCTCAAGGATTGTGTAAAAGGTCAGGAAAATCAAACACAAAGTTGGCACAGCCACTATAAATTAACCATTAACATGTAATATATAATATAAATTACTATGATTACTTGAAATTTGGACACTTTTAAATTGTCCAAATTGCAAGTGATCATAGTCTATATATATTCAAGTGATATATTTTTTTGAGTTTTCTCAAAAACCACAACCAATTGAAACAATTTTTTTAATATAATAATGCTAACATATTTAGTTTTTATTTCAACAAAAATAAATTAACTTTACTTTACAATGTGCAAGTAATTTAACTTTTTGTAAAGTTCCCCATCATCTCTACAATTTTACTTTGAGTCACTTTTTTTGTAGCATTAATCCATAAATCTGGAAAATTTTAAACACTATTTGCACATTTGCCTCTGTTCCTCAATATTTACTTCGCAATTGCTCAGTAAGACTCGATAACTCGCTATTAAGGACAGTTTGGTGAATTAGCATTCTTTGGTTCACACAGTTTGGTGGATTTTTCTTTGGAACAAAATTGACTCTTTCTTTTACAACTTTTTTGGAATAGTTAATTGATGCCAGATCTGGCCAAAATAAGATCGGTTGTTTGTGCTTTTTAATTAGGGGAAGAAGTTATTATTTCAAGCATTCAGTCACATATATTTCTGATGTAAAAGATTGATTTGTTATGAAAAGAGAGCTTTTAAAACCACAGCTGCTGAAAGTCATACATAGATCTTCAGAGTAAATTTTTCAACTCAAATGTACTTTTCCGAACTTTGATGAATGAATGATGATTTGATGAAATGAAACTTTTCTGAAGCTTTATAACTTTTGACTGATACTAGTATTGATTACCTGGAAGCATTGTGAGATCTTTTTTACTTTAAGTTTCATCATCTTCTAAAATGCATAAATCTTTTTTCGTAATTAATTTAAGCATATTTTTAGCTTGTCCAATTTCCTTGATTTCTCCATCAAGCGATCTTTTTGGTATTTTTTTTCTTGTGATATGCTTTTAGACTTTTCTTGTTAAATACCCTTTTACAAAACTCAGTCACAAAAAAATAGCTATGTAAGCATCATTACAAAAAAATCATTACAATTGATTAAGTTGTTTCTGAGAAAACTCAATTTAAAATTGTCCAAATTTCAACCAATCATGGTTATATATATATATATATATATATATATATATATATATATATATATATATATATATATATATATATATATATATATATATATATATATATATATTGTAATGATTTTTTTTTATATAATGATGCTAATATATATATATATATATATATATATATATATATATATATATATATATATATATATATATATATATATATATATATATATATAATACTTTTATATAATGATGCTAATATATTTTTTATATAATGATGCTAATATATATATACACACACAATGAAATAACAAGAGTCATACCAAAGCTGCTTCATCAAGTTGACAAGGATAACTTCCATCTAAAATATTGTCACGGTATTGATTATATAGTAGGTTGATTTCAACTGGATTGGTTATATTCACACTCTTTTCATAGACATACCTTCGGCTACAAATATTCATAACATTTTGAAAGGTAAAATAATGAAAATAATAGATGCACATTTTATTTAAAGTTTCTAAATTACCGTATAACTACAACAGAATCATTATGTACACCAACTTCACGAAATGTTTTATCATTACGCAACCAATTAGCTAAAAAAGATCTCTGTATATATAAAAAAAGATCTAAAATTTAAATATAAATCTACAACATAACTATTTAACAATAATTCTGTCAATCCTATTAACATTCCAGTGACACAAAAGTCTTATTTAGAGTCTTCTATATCATATCTATATCATATTTCTATATCATGTTTTCCTCTATATCATAATTTTATATGGCAGTTAAGCATGCATATAAAAGCAAAAAAAAATCAAGATCAGCATTTACATAAAATTTATTTCGATGTAGCCCAGTAGGGATGTAAATTTTTATGTAAATAAAAATATTTTATGTATAAATAATCCACAAGTATAACATTATAAGCAATATTCTCAAAATGTAAATGACTTTTAAGTCATAGTGATGTTTATCATTTTTATATAGGGCAGTTAGTTCTTAAAAGCTTAGGTACTATTTTATTAATTATTTATTTTGTTAATATTGATGGGAACTTAATTTGAAAAAATCTAAACTAGTTATTTATATTCTACTAATATTAAATAAAAATAATATAAATTAATAATATAAAATAAAAAAATTGAATTAGGAAATCATAAAGTGAATCTGAAGATTCACTTTATGATTTTTGAAGTTTTATCAAACCAATGAAGTTGAGTTTCTTCATTGGTTTGATAATTTTTAAATAACTGTTTCTTTTTTATAAGGTTAAAAAATTATTAGGAAACTGTGCAAACTACTTTGTTTTTAATCTTTAATTTTAAGATAATATTTTTCTGAGAAGTTGTTTTAAGTTGCAAACTGTTTTAAATGTACAAAAGTTAATAAACTTTTTTGTTATAACTTTTATATAAATATTCCATTTCATATTTATTACTCAATAGTTTTTTTGACATTTGTTTTAATTTTTTAATTCTATTTTTAACAAACAAGCAAACACCTTTTTTTTCAAACTCAGCAAATCAGGCTGTTCTTTTCCTATTTTTAGCGAAAGAGTTTTAAAATATGCTCCCTGACCAATTGGATCTCCAATGTGGTCAGTTATGGAAGCAAAACTTTCAAATAACAAAATTTTTTCAATTTAATGAATAAAATAAAAATAAAACCCTAACAAAAAACAACTATTAACACTTAAAAAAAGTCAACATCCATTAGTTTGTATTACTGTTAAAGGAAGAAATTTAAAAGATTGCAACTGGGATCATAAAATATAATACAATACACTAAGTGAAAAAAGAAAACATTTAGGTAATAAAGAAAAAATTTGAATACTGTCATCATCAGTGTGTGCTTTCTTCTTTATTGTTTGAACTTTTTTTTCTTGTATTTGGTCAACTTTGTCCATAATTAAATCCTGTAAGTTTACAAAGTTTAATTAAATCAACATTAAAACTACACAAAATTAAATGTTACATAAAAAACAAAATAAAAAAACAAATAAAACAAACAAACAAACAAAAAAACACATTTTAAAACAAATGTTGTAATTATTGTATTGGTGTCTTTTATTTTTTTACTAATAATTTTTAAAATGTTAATTTTTTATGAAGTCCTTTATAAGAAGCCTGTATCTGCAAAAATACACATCTACATCTGCAATACTAAGGAAAAACATTGTTAAATTATTAAGTTGCATTGGAAGCCCCTACAAAAATAAAAAAATATTTATAAAAAAGAATGATTTATTTAAACTCCTTTTTTTAATTTGTAATAGATTTTCATTTCAATAAGCAAATAAATCATGAAGTCAAGTAATGATTTATTTGTAACATTTCATTTTAAAAACAGTTATCAACTTGTTCATAAAAAACACATTTTCTTATTTCTATAAGATTTCTTATAATTTGCAATAATTCACAATTATAGAAATGAAAATTGTAGATTAATAGTAAAAAGTGATATGGTTACAAATTATAAAGGAATTATTATTATATATAAAATAAAAAATAAAAGATTTTAGATTTTTGCGGAAAAAAAAAACAAACAGTCAATGGTAAAATTGTTAAAATAACTAGATTAGATGAAACTGAAAAAGATCTGTTACTCACTAAACTTTCAGCATAAATATACACTTAATTATACACAGAAAATTTAGGTAGCAATCAAGCTGTTGCCATGATATCAGCACTTTTTTAAACTATATTAATACCATGATATTTTTTCAAATTTCTTTTTAAAGATTCAGAATCCTCATATAATAATGACCCCACCACAATCACCACCATTTTTTTAAAAATTGACAATAAAAAAATCAACACTCTATTGCTTTATAAACCATATGATAATTTATTAAAATATTATTTATGTATAATGTTTTTTTTTTGAAGTACTAAATATATAAAAGTTATTACCTAAAAACACAAAAGCTACAAAAGAAATACACACATGCAGTATTTTCTTTGACTGAGGGGATTTTTAAAATAAAACAAACTATTTTTAAAACCTAAAAAAATACAACTTTGTGTTACTGTTGTTAATAATTTATTTAACCCAAAATTTATAATTTTTATTTATAGCCAAATAACACATTACGTAAGTTACTTAACATTTAATAATTTTTAATAAACAACAAACAACATTTTTAACTTAAACTTTTAATAGAATATCTAGTAAAAAAAATACAACAAAACATCTAGAAAGTTAATTAAAACATGAGAAAACAAACCATGACAGAAGCCCTTCGATTAACTTGTATTGGTATATCTAGTAATTCTTGTTCTTTTTCTTCTTCAATAAATAGAGCATACTCATCAGCATTTAGAGAGTTTATTCCAATCTTTTCACATATTATTTCTAAAGCATGTCCCACAGATTTACTATCATCTACCTAAAGTATGGTTATTATTTGAAATAAAAAATTTTCAACAATTATTATAGTAGCAGCAATTGGAATTAAGAAAAATGAGGTCAATAATAAATTGTCGACCTTAAACTGTTAGAGGTTGGCATCAGGCTTACAAAAATTAAAACAAACATTTTACCATTAAACATAAAAATGAGGTCGGTGAATTTTTACCAACCTCAAACGTGTCAGCAGTTAGGTTGGCATGACCAAATGCCAACCCAAATTCCAAAGGTTGGAGCAGTAATAGATTAAAAAAAACTTTTTTTTTTAATAAATACTTTTTATAAGTTTTTGTTAAAAAAGTGCATATTTTAAAGACATACCACTAATTTTTTTTTTGTACCATCAAGCATTTTAACATTTAATGTTCTATCTTTTTCTTTGTAGTATAATGTAGCCTAGAACCATAGGAAAAAAATGCACATCAACTATATAACAAATATTAAATGGGGTTAATAAGTTTTTAAAAACTTACCCCATTTTCAATTCCATAAAATCCAATCATTTTACTGTTCATGAGCCAATAACTTTTTTTTTCATCATTAAAATCATTGTAAAACAAACCAAAACCAAAATTCTTATCTGTATACACAAATAATAAATTTAAAAAAATAAGATAGATAAAAAATATCAAAATTAAAAAAATATATTATAATAAAGTATTGCATAAAAAAATAATATGCAAATGTTTAATAAAATAGTTAATCAAAAGAAGATTAATTCACTCATTGAACTATGTGTCTTCCCTTTTGTTTCATATTTTGACACTTGATACCTATTTATTAAAAAACAATTGCAAGCAAAATTCTATTAAAAATGTTAGGCGGTTCTCCTAAGATATGGCAATTTAAATATTGAACTGACTATATTTTGATAAAACATTTTTATTTACAAAATTAGAAATAACTATAGCAAAATTATAAAAATAGTTATAATTCTTCTTTGATACAAAACTCAAAAACTTAGAACGCTGTAATATGAAAGAAATATGCTTAAAAATAAACAACAAATTTATATAACCCTTTTTTGGCATCTAAAATCTCAAAACACCTAGGCGTAAAAATATAAAAATGCTTTTTATATTTTTAGTCACTTACGATCACACTTCCAATAAAAATATAACTGGAAATGCAACAAAAACAAATATTTCTATAACTTAAAATTGCCTAAGTTCGGTCACTTAAGCTTTGAACATTTATTTATCACGCATAAATAAAAAGTTTTCAATTTTTTTTTTCTGAAACATACATTTTTTTTATTTTTATGATTTCAATTGGTAATTAAAATTGTTAAAATAAAAAAATGAAAAATAAAAACTAGTACTCAATATTTAATTTCAAATAAAAACATCTAATTTGAATGAAAACATCTACTTTGACTGAACTTTCAATACCATCTCATAAGTTTGGTTGTTATACAAATCCTAATAACGCATCACATCACAAATAATGAAAACTAATTTTTAAATGTTGTTTTATTGTTTAATGATGATATAATATCAGGTAATATCAGTAACCAAGGAAGGTGTCATTACAGACTCTAAAAAAAAGTCTTTTGTGGTGCCAAAGAAAACAACATAGAGCACAGTTAACAAAATTTAAAAAAATTAAAAAAAATTTTTATTAAAATAAATTTTTTTTTATTTTTATTATAATTATTTAACTATTTTATTACTTTGGCCTTTATCCCTCTTTTTTTTGTTCAGGTGCCCCAAGAAGTCCTTATGGTCTTATCACAGAAAAGACCATAAGGACTTCTTAGTGCTATGTTCGCTATGCGGCTGGTTAATAAAATTAAAAAAATATATTTCAATTAAATTAAAAATAACTTTTTAATGAAAAAAAATACTAGTTTGCAATAAACAAGCTTTGAATATTTATTGGCAATTCTTGCACAAATATTGTTGACCAAAGTAGAACAGCAAGATCCTCTCAACCAATTGTCACAGGATTTGCAATGCATCCATAATTGTTGTTGAGCTGCGATTTCATCTCCAAAAAAAATGTCACAAGCTTAACATTTTTTTGAATTCAAAGAACCATCAAATTTACAGTGTTGATATATGGAAGTTGCTTCGGATTCTGATATATTCGAAATTTTGATTACCTCCACTAGATGTTATTTCCATTGTTTAATAGTAGGTTTGTTAAACAAACCAGCTTCCTTTGCCAAAGGTTTTTGAGTCTTAATTGAATTAGCCTCCTGCTTCTTCTTAAAATAAATACCTAAATTCATTATAAATACCTTTGGCCTTGAAATAAAACATGAACAAGCAAGAATGTTCCAAAAGCATCACAACAAACAAGTATTATGACTGAAGCCTTTTTGTTGCTACTGCAAAGTTTCTTAGGCCCTTTTAAACCTTTTCAACAAACTACCTTGAATTTGCCTTGATAACATTTAAGACCAGATTCATTGCAATTAAAAATGTGGAACGGCTTAGTTGCAAATCCATGTATATTGTACATATCAGAAACTTGTGCAAACCTTGATCTAAAATTTAAAAAAATTATAAAGTAGGTTATTAAAATGCTATAAATTGAACAGTTTATAAAAAAGGGACAATTTCTAAACATTACAATCAAATTAAATTTTACCTTTTAAAAAGTGCGCCTTTTTTTTAATTTAAAAACAATTTATTATAAAATATATTTACATATAAACATAATTTTAATAAATACTGTCGATCAATAGCTCCTGGCTATTGAGTCCACATTGCATATTATTTGAAGTTCTGAGCGATAGCTCATCACAATAATGTCTAATTAATGAGTAATACCAGGGAAGTGTAACTTTGCCGCCATTAAAACACATTTGATTTAAATTAACCAAATAGTTATTAACAACACACAGTATTTCAAGCCTAGTCAAACTAAAGCCAATATCACTCATAAATATTAAAATTTTTACTAAAATGTCTTAAAACTTAGTTGGTTTGCCATTTTTTTAGTGTGCTTGCCGTTACTTCTGTTGATGAAAGTTGATCTTTTAAAGCCAAATGTTATTAATGTTATTCCTTTTACTCATACCTTTATCTACAGCCTTTAAACCATGAGCCATCCAAGCTTTCTAACAATCCATAGATGACATAGATGTATTAACTTAAAAAAGAACTATTTCAGTGAATTGCAGTATATATTATTGTTTTGTAATTAGCTCAAATTCAGTGATTTAAATTTACCATCAAATTATGAAATCAAAACTTACCTGCAAATTGACCAGTAAATTTTATTTTATTTTATTAAATTATAAAACAGGTTAATTTTAAAACTATAGAGTAAAAGTACCGCACACCGAACACTCTTCACAAAAAGCTAAATAACTTTTTTACTGTTGAGAATTTGTAGGATTTTTTTTTCCTGGAATATAGTTGTTTATTAAAGCAATTCTGCAGTGTAAAAAAAAAATTTAATTTCAAGTTTCTATGGAAAATAAAATCTTTTTTTTTAAAAGTGTCAGCTTTTCGGAAAATTGTCCCTAAAAGCGGACAGTTCTAAATTATATGAAAAAAATATAGATAAGTTGATAAACTCAATATTTTTATTTTTATTGTTAAAATATACACATAATAATACAAGCAGAAAAAACTAGAAAAAAATAATTAAGAAACATAAGCAAGCTTGAACTTGAAATAAAAATAAAAATTTATAAACTAGGTTCTGCAACTTTTTGTACAAAAGAATTCTTTGCCTTTATGGCAAGAGTTTATACTTCTGCTGCTGCAATTTAAACATATGTTTATTTTAATAGCTTCACGTCTTCTTCTCTTAACCATGGTTCTTCTGTAAAAGGTTGACCAGCCTCTGTTCTAACATTTCTGGGTTTTTTTGCAGGATGCTTGTAAGCGTTTTGAAAATGAAATTGCTTCAAGAGAGCTCTTTCAACACTGATTTTAACACGAGTTACCAATTCTTCATAAGAAGTTAAATTTAAAGTTAAAATTGAAGTTGCAGACGCAATTAAGGTTTGTGTTTGTTGAGCAGTTTGAGGCAAAGAACTTGAGCTGCATGATGATTTTGTAACTGCTGATAATGTTATTATAGTGTTATTAAAAGTTTGACAAATTTGCAATTTTGATTTGTCAATGTTGTCTTGATTTAATGGAAAGAGCCCAGCATTTTTAATACCAGCAATAATTTGAGTACAAGTGTAAAAGAAGGAATCCGCCAGCATTAACGCAATTAAGAACAGTGTAATTTATTTTTTCGTTATTTCCATTTAATACTAGTGGATACTTTGCACTTTCGTATCATCTTTGTCACCATTGAAACCAGTTTCATCACAATTCCAAAAATGCATGGCTTTACTAAAACCTATTTTTGCTAAATCAAAATGTTTTTTCAAAACATCAAAATAAAAGGGAATAATGCTCTCAAAAATGCGATGTTTATAGCTGTTCTTTTGCTTAGTTCTGAGTGCCATTGAATTATAAATCCTTTGTACCATTTGCCACCAAGTGTTTTGTTTTTGAACAAACATGTTTCAAAAACGAAACGCTTGAAATATGTTTGTTTAAAAACTCAATAAAATAGTATATAATTATATATAATAAATCTCGATAAATTTGAATTTGATTTAATTGTCTACCAAAACCCCAACCACCATACATCTGAAGGTGAACCAAGGTTAATTCAATAAAAAGGCTTAGTTTTGTTGTATTGCCACAATCAACTACTAAAATCTTATTTGATTTTTAGTCGGATAACTTTGATTTTGGTATGCAGTAGAATTGAGCTGCGCCTCTTAAGGTTAACTTACCATTTTCAATCTTATCCAGTGCATTTTTTGTCTCCTCAGTGTAAGGCTTTTATATATTGGCGTTATTATATAGACGTTTTTTGTCTCCTCAGTGTAAGGCTTCTTGTTTGTTTTATTTTTTTCTATTTTAAATTTAGTAAATTCAATTCAGTTACAAATTTTTGAAATTGAAGAAACGAAGCACTTTTGGTGTTATTTTGTGTACTTTTGCACTTCAACAGTATAAGTGCAAAATTACAAAATTAACACAAAAATGTGAAAACTTAAAAAACCCAAATGAAAAAAAATCAGTCAGTGTGAAAAAATAATAAAATAAACTAACTTTAACATAATAAAAAAATTCAATTAGAGTGAGAAAAAAAATAAATAAATAAACCTATTAAATTTTAATTGATTGTAGGGTGGATTTATTGTGTCCAGTGAAAACTGAAGAAAATCTTATTTCCGTCATAACTTTTTAACGGAATAAGATTATGAAAATCTAAAACTGTTTTTGCAATTAGCAGAAAATTTCTAACAAAATAGCTTCCTTTGTTTTTAAATTGAATTTTTAAATCTTTCATGCGAAGAAACTAATTTCCAAAAAAAAGTTTGATTTTTAGGGGTAGATTTTGTTTGAACTTAAATATCTTATTAAAGCAATCATCTGAATAATTTTTTTTTGAAATTTTATAATTTTCCACACACTAAAAACTAATATCTTTATTTTTAATGAAGATATTTAGTTTTTTCGATCAGTGTCCCCTTTTGCGTACTGTCTGGTTTGTGGTACTTTTACTTTAAACAAATTCTTTATTCAAATAAAATACCATCGTGAGCATCCATTATAAAAATGTCAAAACTTACTGGTAAATTTTTAAGGTAAAGTTACCTGTAAATTTATGCAATCGCAACACAAGTTTATATAAGCCAAATTTTTAACATATCAACATTTTACAACATTCATGCTAATTGTCTCTTTTGTTGTATATCCATGAATGACCGAAGTTAAAGTATTTCAAAATTTCACTTGTTTTCATAAATAAAGTAGTTAATATTCAAAAAATAATATATATATATTTTTTTGTAAATATATTTAATTTGGTGATTCTTCATAATACTCCAGTTAAACTTGATCATTTATTTTAATACTTTACTTATTTTAGATTTTAATAGTATGCCTTTTTTCGAATTGTTGTTTTGCTAAAGAATTATTTCAGCAGGTTGCAAATAACGTTATTACTTTTTTTTAATAGATTTATATTTACGAAGTAACAACAAATATTATTTAAGAAATACAAGTTTAAAAAATATGAGTTTTGCATGCTTTATTTATATTTTTTCTTAAATGACCAAAGTTACATGGTGACTAAACTAAGCGATTTTACAGTTAAAATTAATTAACTCTAATTCAAAAAGTTATATATATTATATATAAAATATATATTGATTAAAAAGTATTTTTAAAGTATTGAAGTAATTGTAATAGAAGTTCATAATATTGTTTTCTTGTACTATGTTTCAGCTTTTCAAACTTAGTTTCCACCGGAACTTAAGCTTTTGGAAAAGATTTTTTTCAATATTTATGTTGGGAATAAAACAGTAGTCATCTTTTTGAGGCAATAAAATATGCAGATGGACCTTTTGGGTGGAGGAACCTAATTTTAGCATCAACTTCTTCCAGGTTGATTCTAGTTACAATGCCAACCCACCACCTACTACCATAGACTATCACTACATAACCTTCTTATTTATTATGTAGTAAGAGTCTGTGCTACACCTTTTGTCTTAACTCTGTTACCCCTAGATCTATAAAATGATGAAAACTATGAGTTCCAGGTAGAGTTGTTACACCATTGTACCTTTCTTGTTGTTCTTTATGTTATAACTGTAAACACTTATTTGTATTGTAAACACTTATTTGTAACTGCTAACACTTATTTGGTATTGTATAAAACAAAATAAGGTAGTAAGATTTAGAGTGGGAAAAAGAACAAGCCTGCACTTTAATAAAAAATCAATGGAAATTGTAACATTAGTATAGTTTGCCATTGCTAGTTATCTAAAAATTTCATATTCTCAAAAAATCTCATACAAATACATGATGAGGGGTTCTTTACCAAGACAAACATCACACTGTACAAGAATGCATTCTTTATTTTCCAATGAGTAGACAGTTTTTAAAAGTAAATCCTTAAGTTTTACTTTTTAAGGTATCAACAAGCAATTTGACATTTTGGTGATAAGAACAAACATGTGTACCACTTGCACACAATGCATTGATCTAAATGAAGCAAATTAACTCAAAATATTAAAAAAAAATTTTTTTACAAGGTGCTGTTTTGAGATACTATAACTAAAAGATATTAGACATGAAAGTTTGGGTTATAGAAGACATTTTTATAATTATTAAGCATATTCTTTTTCATATTTATTTTTGTAGCAAAGAAGCCTTCTTAATTCTCATTTTCATACTTTTCCATTTTATTTTATTTCTTATTTTTCTTTTTACTTAATTTGCCATTTCTCATTTTATCTATTATTCCATTCCTCGTTCTATTTAAAAATATCTTTATAAAAATATTATAAAAACTAGGTCATTTTTAGGAACCAGGCCAATAATAAAATTACAATATCTTTGAATCAATAAATTCAGGCATAAATGTGCCTCAAATCTGAGGCACATTCATGTCCGAATCAGGTTTTGATTGAGGAATATTTAACCAGACATTTCTTTGTAGATTGCCCCTGTACCTCACAGCTGAGCTGCTTGTTTCCAGTCCCTTTTAGAAAGATCCACCATCATTAGGTGAAAGTAGCAAAGTAGTAGAAATATATAGTAGTGGTATATATTTTTACTTAAATCATTCTATTATTTGACATATATAAATTTTTTATTATTTGATATGGCATATAAATTTAACATGAAAACCATTCCATATATTATTTAATATGGAATATAAATTTAGTATACATCATTTTTTTCCTCTAAAATAGAATATCTGATGAAAGAATGAAAGTAAACAAATATAATAAATAACAATTCCAATAATGGAAACATAACAATTATAATATTCAAAAATATGTGAATAATAAATAAAAGTTAAAAATGGAAATTAAGAATTCCTTAAAAATCCAAATAATTATAAATGCAATTCTGAAAAGTTTATTACCTACCACTACAAAGACAATATTTATATAAATGGTTAATGGAATTTATATATATATATATATATATATATATATATATATATATATATATATATATATATATATATATATATATATATATATATATATATATATATATATATATATATATACATATATATATATATATATACATATATATATATATATATATATATATATATATATATATATATATATATATATATATATATATATATATATATATGTATATATATATATATATATGTATATATATATATATATATATATATATATATATATATATATATATATATATATATATATATATATATATATTAATGCATATAATTTTAAGTTTGTTTTACTTTGCAGTTGATTTTTATAATACATGCTAAGATTTAGTCAGTTTTGGTTTGGTAAGTAACTCGGTTTTGGTTTGGTAAGTAACTTGGTTTTGGTTTGGTAAGTAACTCGGTTTGTTTTGATAAGTAACTTAATTTATATTTTTGTTAACTATTTAATAAAAATTTTGTATTTTATTCTATACTTTGTTTATGTGTATTTTCTATTTTATTTCTAAAAATAATCATTCTATTATCCTTTATTTTTGTCTGGACAACTGTCTAAATTTGTTTTGTTTGAAATTGGAAATCCTCATATGTGACCATTCTGCAAATTTGTATGTAAAAAATGCAAACATCAAAACTTTTATTAATTTCATTGTTAACAGTAGTACTTATATTTATTTCAATTTAAATACTTGTAATTAAATTCATTTTAATACAATAATATTACATACTCTATCTAGAATATATAAAACTTAAAATAATTTTTAATTACTTGGTTTTGTTTCTAAAACAGAAACTTTTTCTTTAATTAATTTAATAACTTCTTCTACTCTATCAGATGATGATACCTAAAAACATTTTTAATAATTAAACAATTAAACTAAATAACAAACAATTAAATTATGTTACACTATACATAAAAAAATAACAAACATTTGAATTATGTTACACTAAAACACAAAAAATAACAAACAATTGAATTATGTTACACTAAAACACAAAAAATAACAAACAATTGAATTATGTTACACTAAAACACAAAAAATAACAAACATTTGAATTATGTTACACTAAAACACAAAAAATAACAAACAATTGAATTATGTTATACTAAAATACAAAAAATAAAAATAAATGTACTTGAAATGTTTTTATCAAAGTTGGTTTTTCTGTTTTTTCATCAACCTTCTGATCTTCAAAAATCAGGAAATCAATCTTTATGTTCAAAGTGCTCATGGTTGCCAGAAACTTAAAAAACAAAAAATCAAGAATCAGTTAGGATGTTCAAAGTGCTCATGGTTGCCTGAAACTTAAAAAATAAAAAATTAATAACATAGTAAGTATTTGAATTTATTTAGTAACTAATTCATTGTTTAAATGTTTAATATACTATTTGTTTTAATTTAATTATACTATTTGTTATAATTTA